AAAAAAAAANAAAAAAAAAAAAAAAGAAAGGAGGGCCTGAGAGAAACGGGAAACTTGTCGTGAAAAAGACGGGACGAGACCCAGGCGTGGCGTGGCTTGCCTCATACCCTAGGCATGGGAGGGTACGTCGGGTTACTACAACGCTGTACATGGTCATAGAATAATCAATTTTCTCGTCATTTCTTTATACGCCTTGAGACATTGTTCTTCTTCCCACGTCCACTCTCCCTATGCTCGTGCCGACCCGATCAAGACACACACACACACACACACGCCCAAACCTCACAACGGCCTCTCGGTCCGGCTCACGCGCATCATGGCTCCCCCGCGGGGTCTGGCCTCCATGATGAGCTCCTGGAAGGCCCAGTCGCCCAGGGGGGTGTCGGCGTCGAGCGTGGTGACCTCTGGCACGCGCGGCTTGGCGTTGGCGCCGGGCCCGGCCGTCTCAAAGTCGAACCAGCGGGCCGTCAGCAGCAGCACGGCGCGCATCTCGTCCATGGCCACCTCGCGGCCCATGCAGGCGCGGGGCCCGCGCTCAAAGGCGCGGAAGGCGTTGCGCGGAGGCGGCGGCGGGTCGCCGTCGGCCGACGACGACAGCCAGCGTTCCGGGCGGAAGGTCATGGGGTCCGGGTAGGCGGCCGGGTCGTGGTGGACCGTGTGCGTGGCCGGCGTCACCATCTGGCCCTTTGTGGGGTACTTTTTGCCGTTGATCTCCATGAGGCCGTCGGCGCTGTGTTTTGTTGTGGGGTTGATGTCGGTCAGCCAGAGCACACACACATACTCTTTCTTTCTCTCTCTCTCTCTGGGCCACACACCCCACCACACTCACTTCTTGTCGTCGTGGCGCACGACAAAGCCGACGGGGAACATGCGCAGCGTCTCCTTGATGACGGCCGTCGTGTAGGCCAGCTCGGCGGTGCGGTGCGGCTCGTCGCGCAGCAGGCGGGCGGCGTCGTCGATGGTGCCGGGCGTCGCGCCGCAGACGGCGTCGTGCTCGGCGCGCACGCGGGCCATGACGGCCGGGTAGCACGACAGCATCATGTAGACGAAGCAGAGCGTGTCGGTCGTGGTGCCCTGGGCGCCGAAGAAGAGGGCGCGCATGTTGGTCTCGAACAGGTGCAGCCAGCTCTCGTCTTGGGGCAGCGGGCACACGGGCGGCGGTGGGGGAGGAGTCGACGTCGCTGCTGCTGCTTGAGCCTTGCCAGAGGAGGAGGAGGAGGCGGAGGCGGCGGCTTCCTTCTCGAGGGCGACGCGCTCCATCAGGCAGCTGTCCAGCACCGTCTCGGGCACGACGAGGCCCTGGTCGCGCACCTCGCGGTACCGCGCCAGCGTGCGGCGGCGGATCCACGCGCCCGACCGGCGCAGGGCCGCGAGCCGGGCCGAGCGTAGGCGCAGGCGGCGTAAGGGGTTGGCGAGCCACGCCGTCTCGACCTGCTGCGCCAGCGGCGGGAACTGGATGTCGGCCAGCATGGACCGCTTCTGCTCGTCCTCCCAGGCGGCGGCGGATGTCTCGTCCGCGTCGTCAGACTTGCGGCGGCTCTCCAGCACGGCGAGCTGGTCGTCGACGGTCGACGGCCGGTCGAGCCCGCGCGGCCCGTCGCGCTGCGAGTCGAAGGGGACGCCCATGAGCGAGCGGGCGATGACCTCGAAGACGAGGCGCGAGACGGCCGCCTCCATGGAGAAGGCGTCGGCGGCGGCGGCGAGCGGGGCCAGGACGTCCCGGGCGAAGACGAGCCCCTGCCCCGCGGCGGTGCCGACGAGGGCGCGGGCGTTTGCGGGCTTGAAGGCCGGGGCGATCATGCGGTGCAGGAACTTCCAGCGGGGCCCGTCGACGACGGGGATGGAGTCGGTGCCGACGAGCGGGTCCAGCACCACGGCGTTGAAGGGGTGCTTGCCCAGCACCTGCACCTGCGTCACCTGGGCCGCCGCGTCGGGCGAGCAGCAGGCCATGATGGGCGGGCCGGCCGGCCACATGTCGATGTAGAAGACCTCGGGCAGGTCGTAGGCCCGCCGCATGTACGTCACCACCACCATGGGGTGCACGTTGGGCGGGAACTTTTTGGATATCTCGCCGAACAGCTTGAGGTGGCCCCAGAGGAGGCTGTGGCCCGGCGGCTTGGGCAGGTTGCGGTAGAAGAGCCGCGTGCGCACCAGCTTGACCACGCCGTACACGACGGCGGCTGCGGCCAGGTAGACGATGAGCGGGACGGCCATGGCTGCTGCTGCTGCTGCTGTCCGTCCGTCGTCGCTGTCGTCGAGGTTTGGGAACTGGACTGGGCTAGGGGAGGGTTGTTTGTTGGCGGGTTGCCAACAGGCGTGAACCCATGTTGTGAACACATGCTGCTCGTGCGACGGAGACGGACCCGATTTATACTCAAGCCAGTGCAGGAGGGTAGCAGCCCACGGCAGCCACGCGGATGTAGCCTAGCGCAGGCCGGCGGTGCTGCCACACCTGCAGACGTGCGGGGGAAAAGAAGTGTGGAATTGTTTGTTGTGAAGGGTTTAGTAGGGCTGCTCGAGACAGGATCGTTCGTATCTGCCAGAGCGGCTGGGTGTGTATTTGTGGCTCTTATCGGTAACAAGATAATAAGACGCTGGACACATCCTGCCATCTCATCAATCCCATATTGTTCATCCTTCATCTCACCTCATCGATTAGTTCGTGGGGGCGAGCATGGAATTGCTCCCTGTCACGGGCTGTGGCATGCGAGGACCGAGGAGCTCCCCCACTCTGAGCTTCCCTCCATCAGCGCCTAGCGCCCCCTCTTTTTGTCAAGCATTTGGTACCTGGCATGCGGGCCTTTATACTGTCCATACCTTTTGTACCATCTCGACCTACTGACAAGCCACCCCACCCACTCATCCACTTACAACACCCTGCATCACCACAACATCCAACCAAACCGCCACCATGCCAACCCCAGACCAACTCGCCGCCCTCGCCCTCACAGACGTGCGCGAGCCCATCCTCGCCGCCGACCTCCTCCCAGCCCTCGGCAGCAGCCCCTTCGTCCACGTGCCCGGCACCTTCAACACCCGCGACCTGGGCCTCGTCCCCTCCCCCTCCTCCTCCTCCACCAACCAGCTACGCCCGGGCTTCGCCTTCCGCTCCGGCTCCCTCGAGCGCCTGACGCCCGACGGCGCCGCCCTGCTGGCCGGCCGACTGGGCGTGCGCCGCATCTTCGACCTCCGGTCCCAAGGGGAGCGCGCCGCGGCCCCGGACCCGGACGTGCCCGGCGCGCGCAACACGTGGGCGCCCACCGAGGAGAAGGAGGCCACGGTGGAGCTGGCCGCCTTTGTCGACGGCGACGGCGCCCGCGGCTACGCAGACATGTACCTCGACGTGCTGCGCGTCTACCGCGACCCGTTCCGGTCCGTGCTCGAGCACATCCGCGACAGCCCCGAGGAGCCGTTTCTGTTCCACTGCACTGGTGAGCCAGCCGTCCCCCCCTCCCTGGCCCTCGCTCATGCGCCACTGTTCTTCTGATAGCAAGCAGCCCTTGTGCTAAAAACTCACTCTCACCACCACCACCCCCCAGCCGGCCGCGACCGGACCGGCGTGCTCTCGGGCCTGATAGCTTCCCTGGCCGGCCAGGACCCGGCCCTGGTGGAGCTGGACTACCTGCTGTCCCGCGTCGGCACCGAGCCCGCGCGCGAGATGCTGCTCGGCTTCCTGATGAAGGGGTCTGGCGCCGCCACCACCGACGACCCGGGCCTACACAACCTCGCCAGCCTGAGGCCCGGGAGCTGGCGCGCCTTCCTCGCCGCCGTCGACCGCGAGCACCTCCCGGGCGACGGCGGCGGCGGCGGCGGCGGCGACGGCGGCGACGGGCTCCGCGCCTACGCCAGGGACGCCCTCGGCTTCTCCGAGGAGGAGCTGCGCCTCATCGCCTACAACCTGTCGAGCGGATGGGCGCCGCCGCCGCCGCCTCCTGCCAATGGCGCATGAGTTATGATTTATACTGGGGGCGTTTGCGTGCACCTGTCTTTTGTCTTTCTAGAGTCGGTTCTGTCTCGGGCTGTGTGTGCGCATTTCAACTATCTCTGTTGCTATGGCCCATCCAGTCCATGCCACTTCAAGGGATTCCCTTCTACCCATCTCATCTCCGTGACCAGCCCCGTGATTCTGGGCCCCGTCTCAGCGATGCATGCGTCCGGCTATCCTTGTGGACTCTGCAGTTCAGCTACTCGTACATGAATCTTGCCCGTCTCTCAGAGAAAATAAAGGTTTGAGTAGAGAACTTCCAATGGAAGGCAAATTAAAGAGGAAACCTCCGGTATGTAAGTTGGCCTGGTTAAGTGGGAAAGCCAGTGGCGCCGTTGACGGCTCATATTATACTCCAACATGTAGATCGTGATGTACTTCCTGCGCCCTCGAAATCTGTCCCCAAGACATGATTAATCGTTAGCCAGTCTCGCTTCATCCGGGCGTGTAAAAGCGGTGGTTTGCCATACCTCGTCCAGAACACTAGGTACTTTTTTTTCTCTTTTTCTTTCTTTCCCGCCACTCTTCACTCTCTTCTTCCTGTTGCTCTGTTGGTCTGGCGGAGCCAAGCAAATGGTTCCTTCGTGACGCCGTTATCTCATGGGACTTGTGAACCACTAAGGCAGACGGCGAGATATGCCAAATCCAAGTGGCTCGGGAATAACACCAGCATGCGCAGCTGATATTCAGGGGATTTCTGTCCGAGCCGAGATGGCAGAGGTGATAAGCCTGGAATATCTGCAAAGGGATCCGACCTGGCCGGTTCAGGATTCGTCGACTTGGTGTATCTCGTTTCGGATGGCGTACCGAAACATATCTTAGACACAGAGCTAGTTCGCATGCACACTCGCACCCATTTGCCACTTCTGCTTGATGTCCTCCCACTCAAGCTTCGTTGGGGATGGGTGTTTTTTCCCGAGATCTACCGGGAAGCACTTGTATACCGTCTCGCCCAGATCGGGCTCTGACGGTGGCGTCGGCAGAAGTAGTGGGATGGATGGTGACAAGACAAGTTGGCGTAGCTTCTGTTCAGCATACTGAGTCGTCTTTCGCCCTCGCTCCACCTCGGTTGAGGCTTCGTTGGCCGTCTCGGAGGAGCAGCGACTTGACATCTTGGAGATATCAGAGCGAGCCGGGGACGGTGGCAACGAGGCGCGGAGCTCCTGGTTCTTTGACTTGTGATTAAGCTGAGGCGTCCTCTTTTGTAGAGAAGAGCGTCTGGGCCTCAGGCGCTGATGGCATGGCCGAGAGAGATCCTGGGCGGTCGAACTCCGTCGTGGAAGGCAAATGGACGATCGACGTGATGGAGTCCTGGGACTGCTGCGTCCAGAATCAGAGAGCCGCCAACCCGCTCCGCCAGTCTGGGTAGCCGTCTCATTCTTTGTGCTGCTGATCGAGATCTGCTCCTCAAGCTGTCTCTTTTGCGAGCCGGCCAAGCAAACAATGGACGAGCGGCGCTCTGGAATCTCAAACGGAACGAAGCTCCCGGCATCGGAGGAGGACCTCATCCGTGCAAGGAATGCCCTATTGAGGCCCGATTCCTGCTTGACCAGGGACGAGCGCTTCTCGACCTTGGAGACGCTCTGGCGGCGGACAGTCGGCAGCTTGGGCTCCAGGACCGAGAGGAACCTGCGCGGCGTCGACGATCCTAGGAGGTCCGGCTCTGTCCGTAGCATCGAGTTCAGGCTCGTGTTGAACATGTCCTCGTCGGCGAACGGGTCGTGGTCGACACCGGACGAGACGAACTGTGGCATGTACTGAGCGGTCGCCTCGGCGTCCATCTCGTGGGCGTGGGGGCTCGGGGCCGGCTGGGGAGCGTAGGTGCTGGTGAGCATGTTCAGGTCAGCGGCAGTGCAGGTTCGCAGTATTCCCCTGCGCTCCTGTGCCGGGTCGGTCGGTTCGCCGGCGGTCTCTGGACACAGCGAGGCAAGGTTCGTGTGGGTCTTGGAGCGGCGCGACAGCAACTTCCAGCTGGAGATGCGCGTCTTGAGGCGATGGACCATCCCGTTGCTGTTCTTTTCGTGCTGCTGGCTAAAGTCCAGCAAGTGGCCGCGCGAGGGGGGCGGCTGTCCCCGCGCCCGGAAAGCCATTGGTGCTGCTGATGGTGGGAGCAGATGCGTCTGAGAGGCGTCGTGGATGCGGTGGTGGAGGAGGATTGATCACCCAGGCCTGAGATTTTCTTGTTTTCCCTTCTTTTTTTCCCGCGTCGTCCGGGTGAGCCCGACTGCTGCCTGTGTTGCCTCGTGGCTTTGATGAGAGCACAGCAGGCAGAAGTGGAGCCCAGGGGCCGTCAAAGACACACGCGGCCAAAGAGTTAGGCAGACGGCTGAAATGGCACCATCGCTAAACTGCCATTTGTTCCTTCCTCGAGCGAGACCAGATGGCATTTCCATCCCGGGCTCCACATCCCGGCGGTGAATATAGGACCCAAAAAGTCTGCGCCAGTAGCTTCGGTAAAGCAACTTACGGCCGTAGCTTCCGAATATTAATCTTCAACTAAAACTCTACGGAATTGCAGGCCCGCCTGTGTATCATTCAGACATTCGGAGTGAGTCAATGCGGCGCCACTCCGGCAGGCAATGCGCCTCTCGCCTGCTGGGCGACCTCGTCAAAGTCTGCGTCAAGGTAGATAGAGTCAGGAGCTGAGATGAGAAGGGGCGCGTGGGTTTGAGTATCATGGCGGCAATGAGATATAATCCCACGGCCTCCCCTACAAGGTAAACGGAAGCCGCGCCAGGATGGGTTTAGGTCTGCAGTCCGAACACACTTTTTCAACCCTCTTTCCCTATCCCCTCTTTCCTTATCTTTCCCTCGTCCTGCTCTCCCCAAATACACGCTTGCGTATGACGACGGTGACGTGCGCTGCCGAGTGTCATGTTCAAATCTCGATGGCTCCGTCGGTGTTCCATTTTCTCGACGCCCCCATGATGGCCTTCGGGTGAGCTGACTGGCGGAAACTGTGCTCCTTATTTCTTTAGGCGGTGATGTTCACTGCTTTGGTGGCTGCATGACTTCGGACGAGGTTGAAGGCCCCGCCCCGCCAACGCTGTTCACCACGGACGGTGGGGCTGACGTCACTTGGCTTTTGGGTGCAGGGGCCTAGGGGCCGTGCACGTGCGTGATTGGGGCGACAATCAGGGTCCAAAGGCCAGGGACAGGGGTTTCATACGGGATCGCCCTTGCCTTGCGTCCATGATGTCACCCTCCCCAGCCCTGTTCCTTCTCCTTTGCCTGCAGCCAACCCCGGATCGCCGTTATGACGGAGCCACATGGGGGAGGATGGAACAAGCACCAAGCTGTTAAATGCCAGGTCCGATGGCCCAGAAGACCAAACTGTGCCACCAATCCCGTCATCCAGACCCCCCTGAGCTCTGCACAGAGAGAACTAGCGGCAGAAAGGCCAGACAAGGAGGGCGGCTGGAGTCCGGGATTGGTTCAATCCTGTCGACTCCTCTCCAGCTACATCTCCTAGCCCATCTTAGTTGATGTCATTATTGCCATCATCGTCTCCGAGACGGGCTGGGGTGAGGCTTGTTGGGCTCGTCAGAGCTAGGTCGGTACCTCCAGGCAGGTAGATACGGATGGAAAATAGACTAGTAGGCAGCCCGTCAAAGATATAAACCCGCCGACATGTCCGCCATTTAGTCCATTATCCCAAGATCACACTGCTACAGACAAGCAAACAAACAAGCACTCTCCACCAAAGCCACTTTCACACAACACACATCTCCCACTTCTTACACCAAGCAACCAACCAAAATGCCTCTCTTCGCTCGCCGCCGCGCTCACCACACCACGGCTCCGGCCCACCACCACCATACTACCACCACCACTACTACTACCACGCGCCGCCGTGGCCTCTTCGGCCGCCGCCAGCCCATTCACCACCAGAAGCGCAAGACCACCATGGGCGACAAGATCAGCGGTGCCTTCCTCAAGCTCAAGGGCTCCCTTACTGGCCGCCCCGGCCAGAAGGCGGCGGGCACCAGGAGGATGCACGGCACCGATGGCCGCGGAAGCCACCGCCATTATTAGGGTGTCATCGAGACACGGAAGGATGAGATATGGCGGACGAGGCGGTTGTTATGATCAGTAACGCGGATGAGGGCAAGATACCCGGTTGTTGATGTGGATGTCTACGTTTGTTTTTCAGTAACAGCGAAGCGCGCAATCTGGCTTTCACTTTTTGTCTGATTATTTGTTTAGCCCTTGGTGATATTACACAAATTCCATTAATCTGTCCCAGACTTGCTCATATTCTCCTCCGGTATTATCTGGTTGTATTCATGGGTGGATGTGCGAAAGTGCGTCTGTGGCTGTGGGATCCTGGACTGTCGGCACTACACTATGCACTCCCGAGGCCGCACGATGAGGCTCGTGGTTTTGCCATAGCTGTCAGCTCGCAGTCCATCTTTCTCGACGTCGGGTCTGGATTCGGCGTCTGAATCCTCCAGAATCTTCTCCACGCTTCCCACCTCATCGACATGGTCTCCTTCCTCCTCCAGCTCAGACAGCGTCCCCAGCCTGGATGTGTACCGGCGCCGCCGTCCAGGATGCCGCATGAAATACCCCCGTGGCGCGGGGATCCGACTGCTGTGGTCGGGGCCGAAGCCGTGGGGTCCTCCTCGTCCGGCGGCGGCCAGCGAGCCCGGGGCTCCAGTCGGGACGTACACGCGCACGGGGCCTCCCTTACCGTCCCGCACCGGAGACCTCTGCCCCGTCGGCGAGGGTACAAGAGGGAGCTTTTCTGCCGGGATGGGGAGGAACGCGATGACATCACGTGTGCGCCGTCAGTGACAAAGTGACACATACAGATAGAGACGAAACAATCGCGCACGGTAGGAGGTGAGGAGGAGGAGTGAAAGCTTGTGGTGTCTCACCGTCGAGGAAGTTCTGGATCTCCAGCTCCTTTCGCTGCATGTGCTCCAGCTGGCGGCGGACCTTGAGCGCCTGCTGCTCCCGCCAGTACTGCTCCCGGGTCTCGATCCGCTCCTCGTACGCCGACCTGGCGTCGGGCGACCGCCGCACAGTCCGGTCGTAATTGTAGTCGAACCAGTCCGTGAACCTCTCCTTGGCCCTCTCCCACTTGTCGCGGGCCATGGCCGAGGAGACTGGCAAGGGGAGGGGAAGGGGAAGGAGGTGTGGATGGATCCCCGCGGAGGAAGGAAGGGAGGGAAGGTCTAGCCGAGCCGGTGAATTTGGCGTGCGGGAGAGGCCACAGGATGCATGGCGTTGATGGCGGAGTTTTTTTGGGGTCGGGCGGGTGACAGAGAGAGAGCTTGGGTTGAGCGTTGAGAAACGCTGTGGGTTTTGTGGGTGCGAGGTAACAAAGATGCGGGTGAATCAACAGCTGCGTCCAATAACCTTTCCACTGCGGCCGCCACAAAGGCCCAGGCGGAGAAGGAAGCCGAGAGATTTGGGTCTTCAAGCGACCAGGGCCGGGAACAATAGTCGTTGGAGTTTGCATAAATGGAGTCAGGAATGTTTCGATGACGAGCCAAGGCAAGGATGGCAGGTTGAGGAACCCGTGCTCCCGCTTGATCAGTCAGTCAGCCCAAGTCACGACAGTCATCGGGACTCTCTGGTTTCAACATGTGGCGAAGGATGAGCGACTCAAAAAAAAAGACCCAACCCACACATGAATGTGCGATCTGGGTTGGGTTGCCACTGGGCAAAGCGGATCTATGCCAAAAGTGGCAAACATGCATGGAAATCTCTCTTGGGCTTCTTTTACTTCTAAATATGTTTTGCTTTACCGTCTATTGGCCAGACCTCCATTGCCAAAAACGATTCGAATCTAGAGGATGCTGGAACGGCGGATATCAATAGGAACAAAAGAGGCATATTAACGCCATGATATCCCCTATAGCCCACGCAGCGTCGTGTTGTCCCTCTCATCAATTGGCCTATACCTCTCATTGATGATCTCGGCCGCGCTCTTGGCGAAGACCTCATCCCTGCTCTCGTACCGCTGCTGGAGCGCCCTCTCGACTGGCGACACCCCCGGCGGCGGTGCGGCGGCGGTGGCGGCAGAGACCGTCGCCACGGCCGCTTCGATCTTCTCCTGCGCGACCCCGACGGCCGTCCTGGCCTTACCAACAATGGAGGCCACCGTCACCCTGGACGCGTCTGCACCGGTAGCAGCCTCGACCGTCCCCCCCGCGGCCGGCAGCACCGCCTCGGCCTGCTCGACGGAGCCGCCGAGCGCGCGGCTCCAGGCCCTGCCGACCGCGTCCTCAACCCTGTCGGCCGCAGCCGCGGGGCCCGACGCGCCCTGCACCCAGCCCGCCGCATTGGAAACCTCGTGGTTCCACCGGTCCTTTGCGCGCTCCGCCAGGCTGGCGCGGGCCGCGGCCGCCCGCTCGGCGCGCGAGGGCGGCGGGGGCGCCAGCACGC